TTTTAATATAACAAAGTAGTTATCCTACCTGCACTTGACCTTTCCTGAGATATCCTGCCCTCTTTGGAAAGGAAGGCTTTGGGACCTCGCGATAACGAATCACCGTCCTGTGGCACTTGGTATCAAGACAAGTGTGATGTCTGCAGGGGCGGCTGGTGATTTGTGAAACTGGCCGGCTATCATTCATTCTGATCCCCCCCCCCCAACCTGCTCTCCCACACACATAAACAGAGAGACACATTTTTACCTGTATCTTTGCTCTCTCTCAATCTCACTCTCTCTCTCTCTCTCTCTCTCTCTCTCCCCCTCCCTCTCTCTCTCTCTCTTTGCCCTCCTCCCTTTTTTTTACAAAGCGACACACACAAACACGTGAAAAGCCGTTGGGAACATGGTCCCTTTCTACAAAAATGTTTAAGTACGTAATGTTAATTTTAAAGAGAAGCTTTATAGTAGTCTGTAGAAACTTAGAACCAAATTGATACCACACCACACACTGTCCCAAGCAGACCAAGTCAAGGTAAAATCCGAAACAACATGTCTACAATACACTTAACACGTACATATTGAACAAAGGAGGCACACAACAATTTCCAATTCGCAATTCTATGTCAAATACTAAGTTTTAGAACAGAGAGTCGGTCTGGGTGAGAATGCAGAAGGAGAAAAAGGGAGGGGAGAGTGGCAGTGGGGTCCAGACTGACAGCTAAGTGCCCTTCGCAAGTCAGCCCTCGACTCTCACCTCCGTTAAATAAAATTCCTGCTGTATATACAATGACCACCAACTCGCCCATGGTCTAGGCGATCATTATATGACCGTCTAGCCCATGGTCCATCTGTGCTTTATGGAGCCAGGTAAAGATGCAGCAGGAAGTAAGCGGTGAACAGAACACCAAACAGAACCATGTGTGTCTCAAAATTCACTTAGCGATAAAAATTTGACCCATCATGACAGTACATTGTGTACATGTAAACTGAAAGTGACAAGAGGCATGTTTAGTAATAAATGTTACTGATGAAATCATAGGATGTACTGTTCAATACAGTCTTGTCCTTTGTAAGCAACAGAAGAGACAAATTGGCAAGGAAGGTGATCTTCGTGCGTGCTCTTTCCACTCTGAGGGCTTACTTTTACTTTACTTTTATCCGCCACTTATACCCTTTTGGGTATTGCGAGTCGCCAGCCTGAGAGCTTGGGTCAGGGGGATGCCGTTGGTGGTTAATGTTTCCCTGACTCCATCTATCCAGGTTTTCTCGGTCGCCCTCTAGCCTTGTTGCCATCAATTTTTTGGATGTAAGCACGTTGTCCTGGATGGTGTGTTGGTAATCGTAGGAGATGTCCGAACCATTTGATTCTTTGGTGTTGGATGTGATGCTTGATATCATTTGTGCCCACCATTTCTCGGATTACTGAGTTTCTAATTTTGTCTCGCCTGGTCTTGTTTACTGCTCTTCAGCATGTGGAATGCGATGCCTTAGAAAAGCAATAAACTCTGAGGGCAATTGCTCAATTCACCGAGTTGGGTGACCTCACAGCTGAGCACGCGATACGAAGGCGCACATCGTGATAGCAGCTGGTTACAACAACATTGTGAGCCATCGAGATAAACTGTGGTTTAGGAACAAGTTTCTGTAGTGCGACAACAGATCGGCGAGCCCTTATCATTTCTTTGAGCGTATTTTTATAGGGAAAGTGTTATTTCAATGTTGATAGATATTAATTATGATTTACTTGAAATTGAATACGCTATTATCAGCAATCAATCTCTTGTTCATTATAGCTGACTAAAAGTGACCCAACGTCTTGCATAGTTAAGGGCGGGGGGAGGGGGGGGGTTTACACCTGAAGACTATCTCGCTTATTACATGACCGAAGTTTACCAAATTTCACGCATATAACAAGCATAGTAAGGAGTCTTTAAATCCACAATCAAATTTGAGAAAAAAGTATCGTTTCTATGGATACGGCGGCCATATTGGATTTTGTTTACATGTCTTACGTAATGAATACCGCACTTATCGCTCATGGAAATCGAATGTTTTTTTGCATGCGTGTTCACAAACAATATAATATCTAAAAATTTGTTGGTTTTTTTTTCCTAAATGAATTAGAAAAGTTTTAATGAATTTTTTCCTTTAGGTAGCATTCAACTTTTCAAAAAATCCGAGAAAATCCACACTCCAGACACCACCAACAAAAATCTATTCCATATATCAAAAATTCAACAGACAAATTTTTAGTATTACATCTTCTCTTCATTCTGTGAAAATTTAATGAAGATTGAATTAAAAATGGTGGAGTTATTAAAAAACGTATAGAGAAAAGTCGCGTTTTGAGAAAACGGCCGATAAAGAAAAATAAAATACTGACTTTATGAGGAAATGGCGGTGACAAACATGCTTGGTATGGGAAAAATACGGTTGTGGGGGGTTCTTATGCAATGAAATAGTTGTAGGAGAGGTGGAGGAAGCTGGAAATGCCGACAACTCAAATTCCATAATTTTGAGTCGAATCTTGACTT